CTCAGGAGAGAAGGGCAATGAATGGCCTAATGGCAGGCTACATACGAGTAACATACAACACAGGGATTCAGACTTCAAGAGTTTTTTTTTTTTGTTTTTTGTTTTGGAAGGGGGGGGTTATACTTTTCAGTACGTAATAGACGGTGCCCTTCGGAGGATCGGATTGGTTCGGTTCTAGGCGCCTAGGTTCGGTTCGGTTGCGTTTCTGAGGCTCCAGTGCACATTATAAATAAATGGACTCCGATCGGCCGACTCGCGGCCTTGAATTTTTTTAAAACAAACATATTTCATAATTTGTCCTTGGAGGCCATCGTCGATTTCGTCCGGTTTGTGCCACGATGGTAGTTCTTCTCCACCAAAGGAGGAAAATCTGGCCAGCCCCGACGACAAAACCGAACCGATTTTGCCAATGAGCACCGGGTATATGCAGTGCTGTGCAGTGCGATTTTGAGGAAATGAAACTTTATCGCTGGCTCCCCCAAGCTTGAAGCCACTATTTTTATGCTTTTCTTTGAATGCCTTATACAAATTGCTAATGTCTGTTTTTAGTTTTAGTAACAGTTTGACGACAACACAAGTATAGGCACGTGCAGTGTGCAGCGGCCCTCATACACGAACGCACATGCGTAAGGGCACTTACACACATTGCAAGACATATTGTGTGCTGTCTCTGTCTCTCTCTCTCTCTCTCTCTCTCTCTCTCTCTCTCTCTCTCTCTCTCTGTGTGTCTGTCTGTCTGTCTGTCTGTCTGTTTATTGTCTGTCTGTCTGACTGTCTCATTGTGCCTCTTTTCCGGTCTGTCCTCTCTCGTATCTATCTATCTATCTATCTATCTATCTATCTATCTATCTATCTATCTATCTATCTATCTATCTATCTCTGGTGCGGTCAACCCTAAACCTAATCGATAAACGTTCGAAATTATCTAGGTTTAATGCCTCTCCCAACAATGTAACGTTTTACTGTAGTCATAATTTGTCCTGTTCAGCCACCTATTGTGGAGGTGAAAAGTGGTCGTTTTAGACAGGTGGACGCGTTGAGAAGTGTCATCATCATCATCATCATCATCATCATCATCATCATCATCATCATCATCATCACCCAGTGCCAGATCTGCGACAGACATCGGCGATCATGGTTCTCCATTCATTCCTTTGCTCGGATGCTCTAAAAAAAAAGTACGTTTCCCTGATCTTTCCCTGTTACCCATTTGTTTAGGTTCCCTAAGTAGGTTGTTCTGGGCCTACCCCTGCCTCGTTTGCCCTCAATTTTGCCAGTGAGAGCTAGATGTTCAAGACCTTTATGTCTATTCAGGTGTCCCAAAAACTGCCTTTGTCGTTTCCTGATTGTTTTTAACATTGAGCGTCCCACGTGGGCTTCATCAAGCACTACCTCATTTGATTTCTTTTCCTTCCACGATATTCTCAGTAGTCTCCCAAGAAACCACATTTCTGTTGCTTCTATTTTATTTTCACTGTCTTTAGTGATTGTCCAGCATTCACAGCCATATAGAAGGGTTGACCATACATAGCACTTCAGAACGTTCATTTTGGTAGTCATTGCGATGTTTCTATTTTTCAGGAATGGGCTCATAATGTTTTTTAAAAACGTTATACGGGTGGGAATATGGGGGTGTAAGCAGATATGAAATGGTCGTCTGTACATGTAACATGTAATTGTCTTCTACAGGTCACGTTCAGAATAGGTTTGACTTCATCTCCAAACATCAACCCGACCAGCCCCCATCCCGATCCCCCTCCCCCGCCCCCGCCCCTTCCCTGCCCCTTCCCTGCCCCGCCCCCCTGCCCCGCCCCTTCCCTGCCCCGCCCCCTTCGCACTCCCGTTTCCGCCCCCACATTGTCTTCCTCCCCCACCACCCCCTCCCCTCCCCTCCCTCTCCCCTCTCCCTAGCTCGGCCATTTCTCCAGTTCCTCTGTCATTTTCTGTCTTGTTCTCCTCCAAAAGCCAGGCCACAGGCGGCACTGTCCAGAACCATCTCTCTCCTGACCACTGCCATTTCCCGGCACCTTGTACTTTTTTTTTTTAAGCTGATGGTAGGTATTGGAATAATTGGATAGATTAGTTGCCGAGTGAAACAAAACCGGTTCCTGTTCCTTTTGGTGTGGGTTTGTTTCTGGTTTGTTTGTTGTTGGTTTTTTAAAATAGATTATTTAAAACGCAGTAGATCTAGATCTCTAAGCAGAGCTATCAGAAGGAGACAATGGAGACTCTTTGGCCTTGGCTACATGAATAAGATAAGATAAGATAAGACAAAAGATAAGATAAGATAAGATAATACTTTATTATCGCAGAGATAATCCTTCTCTCTCTCTCTCTCTCTCTCTCTCTCTCTCTCTCTCTCTCTCTCTCTCTCTCTTCCCCCTCCCGCTCTGTCACTCTTCTCTCTCTTTTCCTCCCTTCCCCTTCTCTCTCTCTTTCCCAGTCTCTCTACTTCTCTCCTCTTCCCCCTCCCCCTCTACCTACCCCCCCTCCCCCCTCTCTCCATCTGCGCATGCGCCATAACCCGGCCTGGGCGTGCGCCAATGTCCAGTTGTGGTCATCAGTCTCCTTTCTCTCTATCTATTTATCTATCTCCCTTTCTCTTTCTCTCTCTCTCTCTCTCTCTCTCTCTCTATCTCTCTCTCTCCCCTCTCTCTCTCTCTCCCCCCTCTCTCTCAGCGTGCCCCAATGGCCAGCCGTGGACATCAGCTCAGGGTTAGGTAATGAGAGACAGACTGCCCGTTGCACACACGCGACCCACACACAACGTCCGGAGAGGAACAGCGAACCATGCACCACCGGACACAAAACTGCCCAGCTCACAGCGATAAAGCGGCCGTCCTTTTGTCCGAGTGCCTAAAAAACCTAAGAGACATGTTTTTGTTTTTTTTCGTATTTGGTTTTTTTTTTGTGTGTGTGTTCAAAAACTGTTGTTTCCAGTGGCAGGGAAAAAAACAAACCCCAAACCAAACCAAAACAAAAAGTTGTTATTTTGGAATTTGTTCGAATCGAATTGTTTGTGGTTAGCGAATGCTCCGCTGTGGTATGTTTGCTCCAATCCTGCTTTCGTATCAAGCATCTATCTTCTGTATCACTGCTTCTTCCGTTCTTTGTATGTAACTCGGAGCTCTCGTGGGTAAGATGTTCGCCTCTAATTCAAGAGTCCCAGGTTCGAATCCGGGTAGCGATGGAACAATTTTCTTCTGTAAAAATGTCTCCTTTCACCTCCTTTCCTGCTCTCTAGCAATGTTCCGTCGTCTGCTTTCGTCTCCATCTCTTGGCCCCACCCCCTCAACCCCTTTTCTTCCTCCACTGGGCTCCTGATTCTTTTTGCAGCCTTTCTACTGCTACCCCATGGCTCCTTCTTACTGCTGTTTTACAACCACACCCTCGATCTTATGGTAGGAAATATCTACACCTAGCCTTTTTATGGTTTAACCCATAATTTGGTATTTTGCAGTTAAGTTTGAAAGTTTCTTGAAAATAATTGATTTGCGACAGTTTTAGTTTCTATATGTGATCTGCAGCTACCAATACGCAGTTTGACCCCCCCCCAAAAGCAGTGCATCTTTGCGCGGGAGTACGTCTCCGAATAGTTCCTGGGTGCACGCCGGAGACGTCTCCGAATAATCATCTTCTGCCCACGCACACACACAGCCACCGTTTGGACCCAACCGCACTGAGAACGACGCAATAAACAACAGTGTTTGACAGCTTAACACAGTCATTTTACGGGCTCCAAGGGGGCTCCAACAATGTGCTTAGCCAAACATCTCATTACAAAAGCATCTCCCCTCGAGAGATGATTTATAACCTCAACCAATAAACAATGGCTTCACCAATCTTTGGGTACCAGTTTCGCAGTGTGGGAGCGAGACTAAAAAGGAAGAAACAGTTAGTTGTTGGTCTCTTTCTCTCTCTCCTGAAAGATAGGAACGTTCTGGGCCCAGTGCCTCATCAAAATAGCAGCGATAGCAACAAAAGCAGCAGCATTATCAGCAACGACACCAAAACATCATCATCATCATCATCATCATCATCATCATCATCATCATCATCATCATCATCATCATCATCATCATCATCATCATTATCAACAACAACAACAACAACAACAACAACAACACACACACACACACACACACACACACACACACACACACACACACACACACACACACACACACTCTCTCTCTCTCTCTCTCTCTCCCTCCCTCCCTCCCTCTTTCTCTCTCTCTCTCCCTCTCTCTCTCTCTCTCTCTCTCTCTCTCTCTCTCTCTCTCTCTCTCTCTCTCTCTCTCTCTCTCTCTCTCTCTCTCTCTCTCTCTATCACACACACAAACATACACACAAACAAGCAAATAAAACAAAACAAAAACAAGCACGTTTATCTTCCCAACATTAATTCATGTCATTTCTCTCTTATCTCCCCAGTGACCTTGACCTCAAAAACCTGCTGACCTGACGTCCTGGCCCACTACCTCCGTTCTACGAACAGACGACAAGGACACAGACCGACCCCAGACAACAGATTTCCCCTCAACCAACTCACAAACCTACCCCTCGTACAAATCTGCTGACCGTTAACTTTATTGCGAGTCTTTGAAAAGTCAGGCAGAAATCTTCAACCAACACAACGCGTTTCAGCTTCTATTATCTATTTCTTATATTTATTCACAGTCAAGAAAATCTCCCAAGTGAATTCTAGGAGAAGTTGTTTATTTAATCAGCGTCTTGATCTTACACGAGTTCAACAACTTGTGATCTTACGCGGTTTTTCAACACACTGAAGAGTTTGCCTTGCCTCGGTATTCGGGAAGGTTTCTTCAATCAACGAAGGCTATCGTATTTTGATACGGAAAAATCATACACAAGGGGGACTTTTGAATCATTTCGTGTTCTTTCAATGTCCGTGTGTGTTCTTGCTCTGGTTCGTTGAGCTTTCGTGAAGAATTTGGACAAACAGACAGAATTTATTCGTAAGGAACTCCTCTACCCCGTTTCTGGCTGCTTTCGTGTGAGACAAGATGAAGGGTTTCTCAGACATGACTTTGAAAAGTTTCACCTACATCTTTCTCCTCCTTCTCTGCGTCGTGATCCACACGGGCATGTGTGAGGAGGGGTGTGGCCAGGGATGTCAATCACTGGGGAATGACAACCACGAGCTGTCGCGATGTGTCAGGTACGCTTGCAGGAGGCGTGTCTTCCGATACTACATCCGGTTCGGGAAGCGAGGAGGAGGAGGAGGAGTTGGTGATGGTGGTAGTGTAGGAGGAATGGGTAGCAGCGACCTGGAGCCACAGTCTCTGAGCGACCAGCGACTAAGTAACCTGCCCCGTCATGAGCAACTGCAGCACCAGAGGTACCTCGTACAGCGCAGGCGTCTGCAGCAACAGCGGGAGGAACCACCGTCTATATTTAGAACGCCGGAAGCGGAAGGAGTCTACCCCTCTTTGACCTCGTCTAGAATGTCAAGGCTGTACCCGCTCGTCCGTCTGCTGCTAGGGCAGAGATAATGACGTCACTGGCCTATACCAGCTGGCAGATCGGCGGAAAGGACAAGGGGGTGGGGGAAGGGGAGAGGGAGGGGGGGGGGAAGAGGGAGGGGGTAAAGAAAATTGTCAGGACAGACTTACTTACACAACGCTACATTTGATGTGAGGCTGTAAGAGTGGGCAGCTCTTTAAGATCAATACCGCGCTACTCAATTCAGAAACCGAAAAAAAAGAAAAGAAAAGACATTCATCAAGGTGGTTTTTATCAAGTTTGGAAATAAAACGTTCTCTGACAATTACGATTTCTTTGTTAGTGTTTGGTTTTGCGAAGGGTGTGGGTGTGTGAAAAGTGTGTTTGTGTGCTTGTGTGTTTGTGTGTGTATGTGTGTTTTTTACGAGTTTGCATACATGCGTGTCTGTGTTTGTGTTTGTGTGTATGTGTGTGTATATGTTTGTGTGTACGTGTGTGTCGTTTGTGTGTGTATGTGTGTGTCTGAGTATTATTATTATTATTATTATTATTATTATTATTATTAGTAGTAGTAGTAGTAGTAGTAGTATTTTTATTATTATTGTTATTATAATTATTATTTATTATTATTATTAACATTATTATTATTATTATTATTATTATTATTATTTATTATTATTGTTTATTATTATTTATTATTATTATTATTATTATTTATTATTATTATTATTACTACTACTATTCTTCTTCTTCTTCTTTTTCTTCTTCTTCTTCTTATTTTTATTACTGCAGTCGAACCTGTGTAAGATGGTCACGCATTGTCGAGGGGAAAGTGGTCATATAAGACAGGTGGCCGTCTTAGGCAGGACTGGTCAAAATAAAATAAACCAAACTATTTACTCCTGAGGTCCCAACTGGAGGTGGTTGCATGCTTGGGACTGCCCTAGAGCTGATTAAAATGTGCTGTTGTTGTTGTTGTTGTTGTTGCTGCTGCTGCTGTTGTTGTTTTATTTCTTTCGAAACGGGGGAGAAGATAGGACGGTTTTTGTGGGACTTTTTCTTGTTAGTTTTATTTTCAATTTCAAATTATGGTTCTGGGAAAGGTCAAAACAAAACGAAATGTGTCAGACGAGGAAGGCCAAGTGTCATAGTCAAACAAACAAATGTGTCAGACGAGGAAGACCAAGTGTCATAGTCAAACAAACAAATGGTCGCCACCACTCGGTGAACGAGCGACACTTCTGTCGCCAGTTTGTGTTGACTTCCATAGTTGTGGACTGGGTTTACGGACTGAGTTGTGGGCGGGGCTTATAGGTTATGACGGATCACACGCTTTCCTCACCAGCAGCTGAAAACTTATTGTTACCCATTGGTCAACTTGGATAAACATTGGGAGAGACCTAAGCGACATGACAGTTTCATCCATTGGAGGGACTGACAGTAACGACAGGTGAATGAGTCATTGGAGGGACTGAGTGTTAGTTTAGATATCTAGTCAGTCTCCTGTCGTTCAGAAATATTTGGTGTCATGTGAAATGCTTTTTGGTTTTAGTATGAGTTTTACGGCGCTTGCAAAACAAAAAGGTCATATAAGTGCAGACGATTAGAGGTTTTACAAGAGAGTAACATACACAAAAAAGAAGGAAGGGTGAAATGGGCTGATTTATCAATGCCATGCTCATACTGTGCTGGAACAACATAAGGGGAACTGCTGCTTTTTCTTTCCTCATCCTTACTATCGTCATTTTTCCTCTACTTCTTTTGTATGTTTGTCAATCTGTACCTAGAGGTGCTTTTCACTGTTATTAAATATGGAGATGCCACAAGACAGCTTTAGGGTCGCGATTTGACAATAAGTTGCGCCACGCGTTTCTTTACCACACTTGTCTAGATGTACATGGCTTGTTTGCTGTGGGGTTGTTGTTGTTTTGGGGTGGGGGGTTGAAAGTGTTTTACGGCGCTCACAACTGCATAAGGTCATATTAGCGCGCGGGACACACCAAACATTTTCAATTGGTTGGAAATCTTGAACCGAGTGGCGGCCGAAGCCTACTCTTATCGATTTTGGACCACGAAGGGTTATTTAACGTGCGCAACTTGCACACGGCACCTCCGAGATTTTTCGCCCTTGTCCGAGAAGGCTAGGTCTAGATCTTTCCTACCAGTGGATCAGGGGTGTGGCAGAAAGACTGCAGTAAGAAGGAGCCAAGGAGTAGCAGTAGAAAGGCTGCAGAAAGAGTCAGGAGCCCAGAGGAGGGGGCAAAGGAGGTGAGGGGGTGGGGGACGAAAGTAGAGACGAAAGCAGACGACAGAATATGACAAGAGAGAAGGAAAGAATGTGAAATGAGACAATTTTAGAGCAGAAAATTATTCTTTCGCTTCCCGAATTCGAACCCGGGGCTTTTGAATGAGAGGCGAACACCTTAACCTCTAGGCCACGAGAGCCCCCATTAGCCTAGTATGTAGATCATGGCTGTACAATGTCTGTGGAACACAATCTGCATAATTGAGCACAGCGCGCCACAAAGTCACCTGCGCCTGTCACGAGAAGGAAACTAGGTCACTAACTTGTTACTTGACCCACTGGCAGAAGGGAGACTTTGGCGCAAAGGGGTTTGTTGTTTTTGTTTTTGTTGGTGTTTTGTTTGCTTGTTTGGGTTTTTGTTTGGGTTTTTTTTTTGGGAGGGGGGTGTTATTTTGATTTTTTGGGAGGAGGGGAGGGGATTGGGGGGAGGCTGTTTTTTTGTCATCTGGAGTTTAGGTATTCAACACATGTCTTTCTCTGTAGGTGCCAAGTGACTGATTTTGAGTTCGGAAGGACCCGCTGGGCTTTAGTGGATATTTTGTGTGTGCTTATTAAATAAGTTTTAAAAAACAACAACCAGCCAACGATAATCAAAATGTTGTGTGTATTGTTGCTTTGTTTGTTGTTGTTCATGGCCAGGCTGACTACAAAAGTACAACAAACGACAGATGCGACGAACAACAAACAAACAAACAAACAAACAATCATACAAACAACAACAGCAACAAACAAACACACCACCACCACCACCAACAATAATAACAACAACAAAAACAACAACAACAACAACAACAAAAGCAGCAAAAGGAATCGCAACAATATCGATAAAAATGACGTTACTGATAACAACAAAAATATACAACACTAACAAAAACAATAGCAATAATTTCGTTAACATCAACAAAAACAGCCAACCCCCATCCCCTAAAAAAAAACAAACAAACCCAACAACAAACAAACAAAAATAAAAAACAAAAACGAAAGTAATGATATCAATAACATCACCACCAACAGAAATAACAATAACAACAATAATAATAATGAATAATAGATAGCATTTGTATCGCGCATACCCCCGCTCAACAGCAGGCTCTATGCGCTTTACACTACATTATTACCCCAGCAAACCATAGAACACTCCGAAACATCCTCAGCTTCCCGGGAAGCATACAGTGCAAGCAGCTGATAAAGCGCTCAAACACTAACAAACTGACAAGATCTTTCGCTGTCTATGGCCGGGTACCCATTCCCACCTGGGTGAAGTGAGGAACATTCGTGTAAAGTTCCTTTCCCAAGGACACAACGTCGGGCCAGAGGCTCGAACCCCCGAACCCGCAACCTCACGATTACGAGTCCGGTAGCCAATAACACCAATAACAACAGCAACAGCAAAATTAACAGCAATAACACCGATAACAACAACCAATGTAGTAACAATATCGATAACATCAACGACAATAGCAACAACAATAATAAAAAACAACAGTAATAACAATATCAATAGTATACAGCAATAATAACACCAGCAGCAACAAAAACAACAGGGATAATATATCAATAGAATACGACGACAGTAACCCCAACAACAACAACAACAACAACAACAACAACAACAACAACAACGTTGCAAAAAGGAACAACAACAACAGCAACAACAACAACAACAACAACAACAACAACAACGTCATAGCAAAGATGAACAACACACTTCCCCAGCCCCTGGCTCAACCCTTCAACACACGACATTGACCAATCTGAACCAGGTCGGCGCGGGAAAATATCATCCCGGACAATCACTGACTGATCTCTGGGAGATCTCACGGCTTGGCTTATCGCCCCTGGCGCTGGCACACACACATTTCCGTGACGTCACGGCTCGGCTTATTGTCCGCAGCGGCAGCGCACACATGTCCTTTATTTATTTATTTATTTATTTATTTATTT